ACAGTGGGCATTTTTTGCTAGAGCAGGCGGACTTTAGCTTTATGAGTGAACTAAAATTTCATGAACCATTTTTTTATAGGTTTTTCATGATCCTCTTTCTAATGGCATGAGAGTTGGGTTTTGTGAAAGTTTTCTAAGGAGTTTTCCACAGATCCGATCTTTTGAAAACCCTTCAGAAAACTTTCTCAATATTTAAAAACGATGCTACTGGAAAGAGCATTGTCGAAAACCTATAAGAAACATGTTTCGAGGCGTTCAGGTTACTTTATCTTGAAATTCAAATTTTCAGCACGAAATTGTTTGTGTGAAGAGGATGTCGAAGAGAGAGGTAATTCTGACTGAGGAACATATTTCTTTTCAGTTGCTGTAGACGAAGGCTCCGATGTTACTGTTTTCCGGATAAACCTTTGTGTAAATAATTCAAGAAATGTTCCAAAACTTGAAAATTTTTCTTCATGTGTGTGATACCAGAAAGCAGCTTCACCTGTCAAAGTGAACGGCACGTAATTCAGTTTTGCATCTGGACTGAGTTGCAGATGAAGAAACAAGTGAAGAAGATTTGTTAGCCAATTCTCGGCATCCTCTCCACGAAATTGAGGAAAGTCGCTTATTACTTGCGCTAGTTGGTTATGTTTCGAGGACTGATCTTCGAATTTTTCTTTCAATGTCTGCGTGTGAGAATCAGAAGAGGTTTGTGTTGTGGTGATCTGCATTGATGGTGAAAGACGCAAGGTTGATGTTTTAAAGCGATTCTGCAGTTTAAACTTGAATCGATCCCAATCAGTTTGATGGAATCTTTTTCTATCTGATACCAATTCTGCAACTGCTGATCGAGATGTTCTTTAACTTTGTCGGTCCATAAAAGTTGTGGATACTGGAGATGTGCAAAAGTTTTTTCTACTGATTGTAGCCATTCTACGATTCCTTCGGATTTTGAATGATCAAGTATTACAATTCTTTGAAGAAGCTTTTGTGCTGCTTGTAACTGTGATTGGACCAGTGTTTGAAATTCATCTTCTTCTTGTTTTAAACGTGTCTCGTCTTCGGAGCTGATCGGATTCAGCTGTTCTTCTTGGTTTTTATCAGTTTCCTTCGCTGACATGGTTAAGTTCGGAATAGGGGAGACAGATTCATGAGTATTGTTTATTTCTTTTGCCGCGGCTGTGAATCCGTTAGAAGTTTTACTAGTTTTGCGAAGTTGTGGTGGTGGTGTAAGACGACTGACTTGGTGGATTGACTGATGAGTTAGGTCCATTTTGGATCGAGTAGCGGGCATTGTAAGATATTTTAATAACCAGAACGAAGTATCTAAGTGATGCTTCAGCTTCAGCAGTATTATCAAACACAGCTTCTTTAATCCAATATTTTGTATAGTCGCGGAAATATACATGGAATGAGACAGGAAAATTCCCACTTAAAAAGACCTGGATAACAAAACAGAAGTGAATTATTTTGTCGTACTTTTTGGCTTCTTTACTTATTCTTTTATTTAATTGACTGTTATTCTATTTTATTTACTTATATTAAAACTTGATTACATAACCTTTTCATTTAACAACTGATCATTTAAATAGTTTACTGATACCCCAATATATTACTGATCATTCATTCAATCAACTGATTTTATAATATGTTTTCTTACTGATCATACCATCTATTTTACTGAACGTACTATTTTACTGCAACCATGCCTTTTTATTTCTGTTCGATCAAACGAACGAAATAGCGTTTGTTCTGTAATTTTACGCTCAGACAAACGTAATGTCACTGTCACCTACGATATAACGACTTGTGTGTTTATTTTATTTTTTTGTTTACTTTATGACTGATTTCTTTGTTTCAGAGTATTTAAACGTTTTCATGCGCATTTACACAGATATCTTAAAAGACAGAGCACTTCCCGGCATTTTCTCTATCCTCTCATTAGATAAGAAATACACAGAAACCGCACATTTTTTTTGTTTCTGCCCGTACATACATGCACATATATAACACGGAAAGATACCCGAAAAAGAAAGGAAAAAGTCCAGTTGTTTCCCTATAACTCTCTCTATTGAGCAACAACAAACTCTAGTTATGGACTTTCTCAGACTCTAAATTGTTTGTGAATTCTGTGTGAAAAAATGAAAATGCATCGGGAGAAAAAGAAATAAGCTCGAATCAGACATTCCAGTCAGCAACGAAAGTGCTCGTTTCAGCTCTGTCATTCTTCAGCTCGAGTAACCAAATCGTACAACCTTGCTCATAATGCTTTTCACTGGAAAATCGTACAAGCTGCGATCGGTTTGTTTTTCTTTTTTAAAGTTCAAATTTTTATCTGCGGCGAAGAACAAGCAAACTCTCACTAAATTTCAGATTTTCGATTTCGTTATTCTGGAAGTTTGAAACTGTTCTGCACTAGCGAAATAATAGCAAACCATAATTCTAAGCGATGTCTCTGTCTAATTGAAATATGTTGTATTCTGAACTGTCGCTTGTGAATATAGCTTTGGGTTCTATCTAATATTCGCTTCAGTGTTGTTCAAGTGTACCTTTTAGATCAGACCAGTTGCAATGAACAATGATACTGGTATTTCAAGCTTATATCATTATTATGATGATGTGGCAGTATGTCGGCCATCTGGATTGTGTATGGATTGGGAAATCTTATTCAGTTAGAAAATGATGTAGCAATAGTTTCTAAATACACAACGACAATAAGCCTCTAATTCAAAAGTAATGGAAAAATTGAATGTCTCCTTCTTACAAAACCAGAAATTTTTTCAAAATGAAAAAATCATCAACAAGAACGTTCAATGTGTTCCTCTGTATTCAGTTAGAACAGAAGGTAAGTTAAGTACACTGTAATTTGGAATTATTTTCTACTTTATAGAAAATCGATCTGGAAAATATTCCAGAAAATCGATTGATTTCTATAAATAAATCCCAACATTCTTGAAGTTCGGTAGGGATTTTCTAAATAGTTGGAAAAAATTCGATTTTCTAAGAAGACGACTCAGTGATATTTTTCTTGGTTCTTTTCACATCTATTAAAGTCTACACATTGCAGCAAGTTGTCGCGTAACAGATCTCTGCTCATTTTAGTATTTAACATCGGAAATGTTAGTAGCTTCCGAAAGTTCTCTGAGTTTTTGCAAACCAGCATATTCTTCGAGAAGTATTGTTGATGTATGACAGTTGGAAATCACAAAGAAGTACTGAAAAGGTTCATGGGTTGCCCGGTTAAGACAAAGTCGAGTTCGACCACAAATTTCTGAAGATCGCAAAGCGGCTTGCTCTTGCTAATATTTCTCATTTTTATGTCTGAATTTAGCATCTTCCAAAAATGTACTTGGTTATATTAACTCAAAGACATGATCCTAACCATTCACATTTATTTTCTTTATTTTTCAAAATAAAATAACAGTCGTTGAACACGTGAGCGATGTCGAATTTGGTTTTGATTAGTAAAAGATCTATATCTGTCACCCTCACCCTCACCAATAAGCTGAAATAATACACTCACTCAACTTCGAAGTTCAATAGCTTTTAATAATGGTGAAAAAGTTTATGTTCAGTCATTTTCACACAAGTCTCTGATTATCAGCATTCTCATTCAAATTGTTCTTCCTCATCATCTGGAAAGTCGCTGAGGATTTTCTAGAAAGTAGAAAATAAACCGACTTTTTGATTTTCGAAAAGTCCATATATAAAATCCCTCAGGATCTTCTAGATGGAAATTCGCAAAGGATTTTCTATAAATAAGTCCCAACAATGTAGAAAATCGATGTGGATTTTCTACATTATTGGAAATTCGATTTTCTATAATTTGGAAAATCCGTGAGAATTTTCTATATGGACTTTTTGAAATCTCCCAGCATTTTCTATAAATAATTCCCGACTTTGCAGTGTAGTCAGTGTTAGATAACACTGTGCTTACCAGAGTTGATTCATCCAAAATCCTCTGGTGGAATAATATTGAGTAATGCAGATCCATTTGATTATCCCTTGGTTTATCCACGTTACTTAACGCACGATTAGGATATCAAAATATTGACTGAGGGTTGTAAAGTAGCAGAAAAAAATATATAATGCAGAACCATTGGAAACTATACCGGAACCGTTAATTACTAGAGTCACTGAAATTGTATTAGTTTCCACAAACATTCCAACTATTGCATGTGCCGAATGTGCGACACATTTAATCAAAAGTAAAACAACAGTGAATATCAATGTACTCAATTCAAGTAATTAACTGATGAAGATTAAAGGGTTCGAAAAATAATAGGTCACACATCTCTGAGGATTCTCAGCCTCTTATAAAAGTAACATTGTAATCCTAAACATGTAATCGGACTAATATCTTCATTTGTTCTATGTCTTTTTCTATTCTCAGCTTTACATTATATATCGAGCAGTTAGAACTTCTGCTGTTTGTTTATGTAAACACACAAATGTGGCTCGTATTGAATTGATAGTTCAAATATTATCCTTATTGTTTAAATTGTTCAAACCATTGATAAAACTGAAATTAAAGAACTAATGGTTTCACGTTCATGATCCTGAAGCCGGTAGAGAAACCATTTTGAAATCCTTCAGCAAAAAAAGGTTTCTTATGAAACTTGTTTTTCAGAGAGTAGGCATCGAAGTAGGAAGTTAAAAACGGAGTTTAGTACTAAGCATTAGTCCCATTTGCTACAAAAGTCCAGTCTATGGAAACAATTTCTCTAAACAATAATAGCAGCTGGATGAAAAATTTAGCAGCGATGGACGGCTTAAAGGTCGTTTGTATTGGTTCATTACACATAAGCGACTGAATGCCACAACATTAACTTGTAAAAACTGAGTTTAGCACTAACATTAGTCGCATCTGCGAGAAGAAAGGTCCAGCCTATCAAAACAATTTCTCTAAACAAAAATAATAGTTAGGTTGACAATTTAGCAGGCGTAACGTTTCCAGATTGTATCTTGTGGACGATCAATATCAGACATAATGCCTGAACGACGACGATTTGCACCAGAGCACACAATAAAAGGTTTACCACAATAGCCTAAAACAGAAAAATTACTCTCAAAGAAGGACTGATATTTCCACGTATAAAGATAAATTTCCGAATTTTGTTTACCTTCATCACATGCCAAACAATCATTTAATGAACCATCCGGTTTTGTGTTATTAACATGCAAAATGCGATCAATAGCACATTTAGTCATACAGTGCGCAGCATCACATCCCATATTTTCTACCCAACATTCAGTACACTCAATACTTAACGCAACAGTTTTATTCATACATCTAATTGCTGAATTTTTGCCAAATAAAACATATTTTACAGCACATTTTGTTGCAATATTTGTCATATTATTCCGTGTTATATTAAAAATATTAATATCTTGATGTGATGAACATGCACCACAATAACCGCCATGAAGTGGATAAGTTCCATTTGTACATGCTGCTTCTTGCGTAGGATAATTAATACCATCACCACCACAACAAGCTCGAAAACAACAATAATTTAGATTAAATATGTCAAGGTGCATAATAAGAGAATGAGTGAAGACGACAGGTCAGAAGAATAAGTGTACCAAGAAGTATGTCATTTACCTGATGTAGGCATGACTGGTGGATCATAATCGTTATTACGTTTTATAATTCCAATTAAGTGGCGACTACTATAACATTCACATTGGACAATGTTTAATCGTGTGCCTCTAATCATCTGTCTATCGCCATACATCCATTTACAACGACGATCACATTGCTCATAATCAAACCAACCGCGATTAAGTGATAACTGTTTCAATACATATTGAAGCTTTCCATCTTCATCGTACAGTAAACAGAATATGAATAGAATGAAGTAAACAGAAACGACCGAAATAATATAGAATAATGATTTGTTCATTCCTAATCCTAATCACTACGTAAAGTGAGAAAAAAAGGAAAGGGTTATGTAATGGGGGGTTATGTAAAGGGTTATGTTATCGCATGTCGCATGCATACTGTATCTATCTGACTTTTTGAGAGTTTTCTCTGCAGAGCTATTTCTTAGCAGTATGCCAAAACCTACTCTGGAAAAGGTTTTGGAGTTGTTCGAAACATTTCTGATAGTTTTCTTCAAAGGTATGGAATTTTTGCATCTAACCAAACACCAACGTTCGATCTGCAATCCTGACTGAATGTTTCTTACTCAAAGGTAGTATCTCCGAGATTTCTGCTAGTTAGAAAGAATATAAACATTAGCTGTTAGATAACAAAATCTTTTGATTTCCTTGTGACTAATATTATCTTTTCCCAGTTAGCTGACATAGAGAGATGGAAAAATATGGCATGTTCTTTTTTGTAGTGTAAAGGTTAAAGTGTTATCATGGATGACAAATTAATTATGTTTCTACTTTACTATCGTGAAAAATAATCATAGCCTTCTGTATGGGGTTAGACCATCGCAAAGGGAAAACATCATACTAAACAGTTTTATGCATTCAACAGCTTTTTAGTAGATCAGTATTATGAGGACGTTGGGATAGCCTAATTAACATACCGAAACGCTTATTTAGACCAATTTTTTTATTCCCATTAGGATTGTCAGACTATTCAATACTGATACAGTCCAAGAAAAGAAAAGTTTTTCTTTTCTTGTACTGTATCAATATTGAATAGAATAATAGATGGACATTTAATTTTTGCCGCTGGTTAACTAAACTTCATGAATGGATGTACTTCATTGAACAGGAGATGTCAAATATCGTGATATCCTTCGTAAGCTCTCCTTCTCGATAAATCATTTAGGTCCTATAGATGGGAATCTCATCTTCAAGGACAACTGTATCCTGAAACAATAGTTTCTAGTACGTGTTTGAAAACAGAATAGTTTTTCAATATTTTCAGAACCCATGATTATGCTTAATGGATAAAACTAACCATATCCTCACACATTATAATGTATTGAGTTACAAATTTTCCAGTTTTAAGAAAAAACAGCTGAAGTTGATGAATTAAACTGGTTTTTCGAAGAATCCCTCTATAACCGACTCGTTTTAACTAAAATCTCACTGCTGAACATGGGTAAAACAGATGTGAATATTTATTTTCCCATACTCAGGATTTCACAACCATTCTATATGCTTCACGTTTTGTCGTTGATACAATAGTCGTTTCTCCAGTTCTAGATTGTTCGTGAAGTTTTATGGTCGGCATGCAAGAAGATAGGATCACTTCTGACATAATATGCTGTATAGTAAAGGTCAAGAAATGTTACTTGGCACGGAATATTTATCTAGCTGAACTATACATGATAATACGTAGTGTCAGATAATTGTTTTATCGAACGGTATGACGAATATGAGTGCTAAATACTAGTTTAACATTTGATTTATAATACAAATCTTCACAGTTTCAGAATATTGAAAGATGATCGAACGTTTTCATTTTTATTAAGAAACTATCGTTTGGTATTATTCTCTTTTTAAAAGCTATATACATGATGCATACCTTGTACATAGTTCGCGAATGCATTGTGGTTATGCCATAAGCTTCAACTAAACAGAAAACAAAGAAAATTGGATGTTCATTGAGTTTCAAACAACCGATGGTGAATTTTAGCAAGTTCCCATTGCACTTAAGTAGCTTTTTACTTGATAATATATTATTATTAAAAGGACGAGAACAACCAAAAAACAGAAAAGAAAACATGTTTTATGTTTAAAGGGTAAAGAAAAAATTCATATATAATTATTTATCCTTTTTAACCCCTGATATTTTCTAATAAAGATACACCACTTTTAAGATGCATCTCTTATTTTAGTCTAGATATTAGGTTGCAATCAATTAATGATTAGAAAATACCAAGGATTGCAAAATGATTCAACATTGTAGAGAACACTAGACTCTATCATACATCATGTTTCACTCAAAAATCGAATCTTTTTCTTTCTGGAGAGCGGCGCGTACCCTTAATATACGTTGAATATACGTTATTAATTACGTACTGGAATTTGTAACCCGAAGACATACATTTCAACTATGTGGACTACATGAACGTCTGTGTGAACATTTTCTTATATGACTCCTCACTTCTTCAAATAACAAGCATATATAGCTGTGAACTTTTAGTATCCATCTCTGTATTCCTCTCTGAACGAAGGAAAGCGGATTAAAAGATATGATCTAGTAGCTTGTAACTCCAATACAGGACCCTCGCGATATAAAGCTGAACCATTACAATTATCATATGAGACCTTTATGCACAATTTGTCCACAGTATCGGGTGTCATCAAAGAAGAATATGAATGTCAGTTTCGGTATAGAATAAGGCTTTTGTAGGACCTTTTCTTACACCACGAGGTCCATTATCGCAAACCCCTATCACACTCTTCTATTATTTAAAGAGACTTTCCATTTTCCGATCAAAAGATCAATTCTTTTCTATATACATTATCTCGAATATCGATGTATATGTTTAGCTAAATCATATACTCATATACCAGTTCTGTTTACTTTACAGACGTTTTAACGCCCAATGATATGCCCAGCACAAGTAACAGTTTTAAAAAGGGAAGGACATTTTTGTACTTTAAAATTTTTTGTTGTTCTGCATGACATTTTCTCTTTAGATCCGCTATTGATTTTATCGTCTTTTGATTGGCTTGGCTTGTTTTTTGGAAACAGTTATTTTCCAAGACATAAACAGTTTCTCTGAATTGAACCATTTTCTTCCCAACAGTGTTCTTTTTACAGCTTTTGAGCCCTTATGTGCCTGGACGCAAACAATCTGTTAGAGAGGAGGATTGCTAGCGTCACGTGCTGCTAACATGAGACGTCGCGCTCTTTTCTTGCTTTCTACAGAGCGATCAAATGGACATTCTTTTTTTCATCCTTGCATATGTGTACATATTCTCGTTATTTTCTATTCATACACGGCGATAGAACGGGAATTTCTCCTTCTTACACTTGATTGAACTAGTTTTCTACCAAAAGATTCCCCTGAATTCTCCACAAAAAAATGTGTTGACCATTTTATTACAAACTCCGAAGATGTAAAATACCATGAGAAATTGTGAGAAGTACCAAAATGTAGAAAAAATAAACGTATTTTCTCAAAGAGTGCGAAATGACGGGGGACGATAAGAAGCAAAATCGGCCCCCTCTCAGATCAATCTCATATTCACGGGTCTGATGTAGTTTTAGCTCACGATTAACACTGGCGTATTTTTAAATCTTAAAGATCCTTTCAGCGCCTCTGGGAACCTTTTGGCGAAAAAACTCTTCTCGCGTTAAGCGACGTTTACTCAAAGTATTTACATTATTCAATCTGTTTCACCCAGAGCAAATATCAACCGCTATACACCGTTCAATAGAGAATTTCACGAGCTACAAAGTAATATATGAGCTAGCCTTGAGAAAATGTAATGGTACTCTAAAATCCGAAATACTGAGTAGCATCCCAGGAAACAGGTAGGTCAACGTTGTTCGTCTTTATAACGGTGCCTAATATTCTCTTTAACCACTCTACCCGAGCATGAAATTTCATAAGAAATAAGCAAGCTGCACTTGCTGAAGAAGCGCCCGCTTCTCCATTGACTGCAGCTAGCTAAAAGAGTAAAATCTAGCGGGTGCAGCTAACTGCAACGGGACAAACCCGCTAACCCGTTTCAATACTAACTGCAGCGGGTAAGAAATATTACCACTATACAACAGTGTACAACTAGTTGCAGCTAGAGATTTATTGGACGTTACAGCTAGTCAAACTGTTATGTATATTGTGTTCAGTACCCGCTGCGCAACTAGAGGCAGCGCTCAATTTAGCGCCCGCTGTAACTACTTTTCGTTAAAACTAGCTGCAACGGCCGCTAAATCGGACGCTGCAACTAATCAAACTGTTTTGTATAATGTATTTACTACCCGCTGCCCAATTTAGCGGCCGCTGCAACTAGTCAAACTAGTTTCGGTAACGTAATCATTAGCCGCTTTTTACAGAGACAAAAAACCACTCCACTCGTACTACGCTGCAAAATCAAAGAATAATAGACGAAATTTTCATCAAAAACATTTACTATTTTGTTGCAGTTTGAATTTTAAACCGCGTTATTCAACAGATACACATCGAGATTCAATTCGAGAGCTTGACGCTTTAGAATCGCTACGACTAGATTTACAACTAGCTGGTATAGTTTCAAAGAGAAAGATAAGCTAGTTGCAGCGCCCAATTTAGCGATTTTTGCAGCTAGTATGAACGATTAATTGCAGCGGGCGCTAAATTGGGCGTTGTAGCTAGCAACTCAAACTAGTCTGAATAATGCATCCATTATCCACTGCCCAACTAGTTGCAGCGCCCAATTTAGCGCGCGCTTCAACTAGGGTATTTTTCGTAATATGTATATTATAAGAGCTAGCTGAAATGACCGTTAAGCAGACCGATGTAGCTAGTCAGCGTAGATGTTAGATTGCAACGAGTGTTAAAACGGGCGTTGCAGCTAGCTCTGTCGAGTTTCATTTTAAATTTTCTACGCTGTTGACCTGTTATTTGTCACAGCCCGATGCAACGTGCGCTACAGCCCCCGTTGTAGCTAGCATATGTTTCTCTTTGGAACTACTAATAAAAGTAGCTAGCTGCAACGGGTTATTTACCATATTAAGCTTTCATCGACAACTTGTAACTAGCTGCAGCAGGTATCTAATCGGTCGCTATAACGCCCGCTCCATGGTGTGTACGTTTATGCAGCTAGCTGCAATGGGTAG